TTTCTCTAGGTCACATTTTCCTTCGTACTTTGGAATCTTGGAAGGAACGAAGTTCTGTGGTATTGGGAAGCTGCGGAGCTCCCTAGAGATTGAGAGGTTGTCATCGTCATTGTCAAGCTCGTAGGACCTACATGGCGAGGCAGAGTCGTGGCCATCTGCAAAGAGTGGAAAGGATGTAATGAAGTTCCGCCTTGATTTTCCCAATCCACTAGGTTCCGCCTCTTTCGCCTATTCCTAGGCGGAAGGGCCTGAACTTCTTGGCTTTGCAAGCGCTCTCGTGGAAGGACTGTTTAGTGAGGGGACTGATCCCTATGTCTAGGCATTTGTCCAATTCGATCAAACACACTTGCAGACCTCTGAGGCCGATCTTCATAGTCCGAGGGAAAGTTATCTCATCCAATATCGGTGATGTGGCCGCTGGTGTCTGACATTATTCAGGATGATCTCTTCTTCAAAGACCTTTCTTATTCTCATCGGATTCACTTTTTCGTTGCTAGAACTCATCGGTTCAGAGTTGTTAGTTCTCTTTTCCCAAACGATGAAGATAGTTTAGAGCTTGTTCTTTTTTTAAGAACAAATCCCTTTTTCAAGGGGGAATATCAACAAAATATTCCGATAAACTTTTTCTTTCGTGGGGATACTCATGGTTACAGTTATTTTATCACAGACGACGCCAATCTGTTGACCTCTAAAAGTGGCTCCAACACGTGGCCAACAAAAGAAGTCTTCATGTATGCTCCTTCCTGCGCACGTTTGCACACCGTTAGTCACTTGTGGCCTTTTCCGGTGGGGGGTAGATGCAGCCGAGAACACTCTGATGGTTTAGTTAGTATTTCAGTCAACCAGATATTGGTATCCGGGAGTGAATTGGTCATCGAGACGTGGTTGAGAACGTGTGAAAATATAGTGAAAGACTTCAAAATTAAAGACTAATGCCAAAATTAGAATGGGAACCCCTTACTCTTACTAGTGTGGGGGTATTTATACTAGGGAATGGAAGAGGTGAGTCGTTAGATGAAGGGACACGTGGCTTCAGATCCTAGATGAGTCATCATTTCATAGGCGTCAATCCGCCAATCCATAGGTTGGCGGACATTAAATGATCTATGACATAGTAGCTGAGTTGACCGTTTATAACCTGCCACACATCCCATCAATCAGTCAAGAACTTGACTTTGGAGATCTCAAAAAAGATCTTACTGGGGTGTGGTGGGGCGGATTGTGAACTGCACTGAAAGCGGAGTGCGGGCCTTTACACCCACTGTGAATGGACGGGTGAGTTCGGCTCTCCCACCAGTGGGCAATAGTGTTTCGGTTCGGATTAATGGATCAGTTCATCCGTCATGAATTCAATTCGTCTGACATGTGGCTGCACCAAATCAGTTCGTCCACACATGGCTGATGGGGTGGATGGACGAGGTTGAGGGCCGATAATAAGTTCAATCAACTTGATTTAGAGG